GTTGCAACAATTTTTAAGCAGATGCTTATTTGATTTCCAATATTAAAAGGTCCAACTTTCAATATACAATGAACTTCTAATAATTTCGAAACGAATACTCATCTGATCTCAAAGTATGGAATACAACAATTTCAATGGTAACAAATTCTTCAAATTATCGCCAATAATTGAATTACGCACTCGCTACGATACGTCGTGTAATTGATTATTCACGATAGATTGACCATTCACTACGTCGTACAATTGAATTACGCTAGACTGTAAATGAAATTACCATGTTCCGAGTGTCGAGACTCTTCCCTGTATGTTCTGGGCTCGTCGCCATCGCTGGCTCGACTGTCGGCCGGATGTTTGAGGATCGGCTTACCCTGCTTCAGATCCGACTGGATGTCGCTGACGAATTTCTCGGTTTTCGATTTGAAGCTGCTGGTCATGTCGGTCATGTGACGCGACGCGACGTCTGCGGATGTTTCAGATTTGTTCGTGTTACGGGACGACACACACAGCTCGCCAGCGATATATATCTCGTTTACCTTGCATACTTTCAGCAAGCGCGCAGAGGAAGAGAGACAGAGTTAAAGTGTAGAGAAGATGACAAAACGCGAATCGTTCGTCGGAACGAAAAGATAGCAAAGACAGGAATTTTTATAGTCGCGATTCTTGAATAGACAGAGAAGGATCAATCCTCAGTTGGCATCGTCGGATCATGGGTAATTTTTTTCAATCACTTGATTCTGTTTCATTTTTAACTGTGCTCTATTATTGTAGTCTTCAAATGATTTATTTCAATGACTTACTATTATAAATAATTGTTTTTCAATAAACATTTTGTCAAATTAACTTCGGATATTTCAAATCAACTAATTTCATAAATTGATATAAAGGAAATAAAAATTTCAAAGATATGTAAGTAACTTCCTTTTCTAGGGAATCTAGACTATTATCGATACCTGTAATCCAAGAATCCAAGTTGAGGATTAATAAAGTTTGCATCGCTATGTCTCAATATTATTATTTTTCTCTTAACGTCGCCTTAACTTCAAAGTTATTAGCGACAAAAGTCTCCCAAATTTACAGATATTGCAATATTCTAATCAAATCGCGACAATCTCTAAAAACATTCCACCGAAAATTCTACATCTACTCCCAACAATAACCACCCTGTACAGCATCCCCGTAAGTACTATCCAGCTATGCCCAAATAGTCCTCGAATAGTCCCAAACGCGAAAATCAAGTACCCAAAAAGCAACCGCCAGCGGACGCAAGAACAGAGACATCAACGTGATTCTTACGATTGGCTGCCTTCTTCACGTCGCTCCTCGAGATATAACCGAATTCCGGTGGCGATCCAGGCTTCAACGCGTCCTCTTGCGTCCTCGAGCTAGCTTCCTTCTGTACTTTAATGCTCTGCGAGTCGATCTTCCTCGTTCGACTGTCATCCCTCAGTTGCGTCATCGACGTTTGTCTCTTGATGACAGGTGGCCCAGTGTCGAACTCCAGCGGCGAGACTACGTGCTGCTGTCTAACCGGAGCGCTGGATGACCTAGGTCCTTTGACCGAGGGTGGTTGAACCTTCCTGTATCTCGGCTCCTCCGTGTCACTGTCCGCCGGCGCCCATTTCGGCTTGATCCTCGTGTCGATATCGCTCTCGTAATCCGACTCTCGAAACGAGCCCTGAACGAACTTCTTGGGCGTTGGCACTTTGAACGTGGACTTCTGTGGTCGTTGGCCGGTTGTCGACGTTTCGAAGCTCTTAAAATCGGTGGATGGTTTCTGATCGCCGAATTTAATCACGCGACTGGTCTGTTCCACCGTGACGATTCTTCTGCTGTTTTCGGTCGACTCGTCCATCCTCACTGTTTTCTTCGTTTCAGTGCCGATCGCGTTGTGGAAGGGAACGCCGGATCGAGCCTCGTAGTAGGTCGGCTGAGGAGGAGCATAGGCGATCTCTGGCGGAGTGCCAGGTAGGAGAACGGTCTTCTGTTTGGTCGGCGTGGCCGTCGAGATTCTCTGCTCCTTCGGCGAGATCTGCTCGACCAGCGGCGCCCGAGGCTCCTTCGGTTTGCCTATCGGTAGAAAACAGTTCCCGGGTGACCTCGATCGTGAGACGTCGAGACGAAAAGCGGAGAGAAGGGTGTCGCGCGTCATGGCGACCTCGGTTTCACGCGTCGTTCAGTCATTTTCTTTTATCGAACGAGCTCTCGACGGGCCATCGAGGCTTCCTTTATTCCGTGGCTTTGTCCGGCTCGTTGTGGACTCGTTTCTTTTTCGTTTTTCTTTGAGTGAACACGATTTTGCGTAATATCGCGACGAGTATCAGTGGTGAAACGAGGGTGAAACCAGCGTGAAGAAGAGAACAGACGGAGAAGAAGTAGTTGTAGTAGTAGTAATAGTAGAAGAAGAAGAACGAAAAGAAGAAAAAGAAGAAGAAGAAGAAGAAGAAGAAGAAGTGGGTGAAGATGGTTAGCCACGAAGATGGATGGAGAAAGATTCGGTGAAAAAGCGGGGGAAACACAAGTACGTACTTCGAGTGGCCGAGAAGAAAAGAGAGAAGCAAGCGAAGCAGGAAGAGAGGAGAACTTGTCTTGCGAGGTAAACAACGAGAAGGGAAGAAAGCTTGCCAGGAGGACTACTTGTTGTAAGCTGGAAAAAAGTCGTAAAA